TAGGGTCACGGTTTTGGTACCTTTCGGTATGTGCTATGTTCAGGGAAACAGCACAGATAAATACAAGAGAGCAAATAAACAAATAAAAGAAACGGTGCTTTTCAGGTTCCCTTTCGAAAGGGAACTCGCACTGCGTCAGAACGCTATGGGGAACACCTCCGTGTGAACCGGTGTCTGAAACGCTTATCTAATCACGGCAATCCTATTGGCCTGCGACAGCCTATGACATCATCACTAGTGCGACCCCGAAGTATATAAGGGGAGCCTGGAGAACATGTCAACTGCTTTTTCGTCTTCAGGGACTGTTTTGTTTGTACGCTTCAACCTGAAAACTTCAAAAAGGTAATCATGGCTTGTGAAAAACGCTTCTCAGAGCATGCACAATCAGTTTCTGAGGGATCTGCTTGTGCCACTGTGAGTTTTTTCCCTTGAGAAAACTCCACTCTCGTCTGCTCTCTTCTCGAGGGAAGAGGGACAGACATCTGTACCAGGTGATTCAGGTCCCGCTCGCGCTGAGGCAGAGCAGAGACTGGAATCGTGGGGTTTTTCAGAGGGAGCTCGCTGAGGAGGTTGAGAGAGTTGTTAATCTCTCACGTCCTTCAGAGACTCGCGAGAGTGAGCTGCAGGATGAGGATGTGTTGTCACTAACATCCTCTGATCCAGCAGCGAGTGCTCTGCTGCGTATAAAAAAAACCAGCCCAAGAGTGCAGGAGATGGCTGATGAGGGTGTAGAGGATATACAACTGAAACCCTCACAGCCACCCTGCACCGCGTATGTTAAGCTGTTGAGTGTTATGGAACGTGCTTCTGCTGTCGTTGGAGTGCGTGAGGGAAGAGACCGCTCGTGACAGACTTGACGAATGGTTTCTTTCCAGCCATAAAGCTCCAGCTCTCGTGAGCCTTCCATTCCTGCCGGATCTACACAATGAGATCGGAAAGGCATGGAAGAAGCCGTATTCAGCGCGCATTCGTCGCCATCAGCGAACTACGCTGATGTTGAGAGGATGCGTGAACACGGGTATGTGTCGATGCCCCAATTGACAAGATGTTCCCAAACTATCTCACGGCTGGAGAGGCATCGACACTAAGTGCTCTGGCCCTGCCTCTTAAGCCACTAAAATATGACAGGACGCTTAAATGGCAGGGCATACGCGGTGGCGGGTCTGGCTGGTGATGCCTTGCACACAATGAGGGTGTTGTAAGCATACCAGGCTGATCTGCTGACAGATTTGAAGCATTTAAATCTCTCACCCCAAGTGATTCTTGCATCAGCCTGAGGCTGGACCTATTGTGATTTATTCTTTCAATTTGGAACCCTTATGTAGGTCTGGCGTCGGGTTTGGTAGTAAGTGCGCTCTTTCGTGCTCTTTTGGTGATAGGCCTCCATTTTGTGAATGTCGTTTAGGCCATCGCTCTATGGGCAGCAGGTTGAGCTCTGTAGGTCTTTTCCCTTTACGTGAGTTTTTAGTAAGGTTGAATAATAGGCCACGGTTCCCTGTTAGGAAGTATTCAGGGGGTGTTAAATATGGTTTTCATAGGATGGTGAAATTAGGGCCCTGAAGTTTCCATATATAGGTAGGCTATGCATACCCTTCCCATAGGCCTCCTCTTATGTTAGAGTCGTCAGGCTTATATAACGGGTAGTGCCAATCTGTAGTAGTGAACAGGTTGGCTGTATGGAAAATTCTCTAGTGAGGCCACCGTTCATCCGAGCACCTTATATACATTTTTTGTGTGAGATAGCTTCCTCCCTATCGGGAGTTATTCTACTGAGGCCACCGCTCTGTCAAGCTCCAGATAGAACTACAAAGTCAAGCATTGATAGCCACCTTATACTAGAGCAGCAGTTCTCCTCTCACTTTAGAGAGTCGTTGAGATTATAGCTCTGAACTTCAGTCACATTGTATTTGTGTGTCGGCCCTCACGGGGCTGCCTCGATTTCTGGCTTAGGCTTAGTAACTAGGAAATTGGTGGTGGTTTGCTAAGCATTCTCGCCTCGAGCCTCTCAGTATCTGAGTGTAGGTTCCTTAGAGCTAGAGCCCATCAGGGTAAATTATTCCTGTAAATCTAGTTGTTCCTAGTACTGGCCTCCTCTTACTACAAGAGTCGTCTAGCCAAGGCCTGCCTTTTGCACTAGGCGTAAAAATGCTAGTGGTGTTACAGGAAAGATAGCAGCATAGGTAGCAGGCTATCTTCAAAAAGCCTCCCATGCAGATATCTCATGGACGTTGTCAGGCCTTTTCTCTCTAGAAAGTAAGAAGCAGTATGCTCAGGCCTCCGCCCTTTAGAGCTGATCATTGTAGCTAGTTTATCCAGCTAGGCCTTAAAATTGAAAAATGATTTTTTTTCCGCTGAGCCCCTTGAATAAAATAATTCAAGTCATAAGGTTGAATGTCGTTGGCCACTTATTGTGGCCTCCATTTCCTTGGGTGTAGTAGAGAATGTAAAATCTGTCTTGTAAAAAATACAAGATAATAGGCCTCGACCCTGATACATTCCTCAGGGTCATGCTGATAGTACTCCCCTTGTTAGGGTCTTTATTCAGAGTACTTTGCTAGTATGCTCGTATGCTTTGCTCATAGCTCGAATTATATCACCCTTCACCACCCAGGCTCAGGTAGAGACAGATTAGTTACTCCCTCCCACTTGGGATGGTTAAGTATGCTCCCTTAGAGCCGAAACACTGTCTGGGCTGCCTCCTCGATAGTCCGGTAGCGTAAGATTGTACTTCCCTTGCTTTAAAGGGTCGATAGCACTTTTGCTGAGTACACTACCTGTTGGCAATGTAAACCTTAGAGCTGGAGGCACTCCCCTATTAGGGTCCCTTTCAGAGTTCCCAGCCTCCACATGGCTTTGAAGCACTGTGTAGATCCAGGATTGGGTAGAGTTACTCCCCTCGTTTGCAAGGGTTAGAAAGTGCTATGCTGAGTTCTACTCTCCAGGATGCTCGTCTCTATGATCAGGTCTGTGAGCGATCACTGCCACTATCTGCCTCACTACTCCACAGGTGAGGCAAAATATGTTAGAGACTCTGTTTAGGATACAGACAGGTTGTTGGCAAGACTAGGTCATTAAATTAGACCAGGTCAGCCTCCCTGGTGGCATATGGGGTTGACTTCATGTCCCCCTCAGAAAATTACTGGACGGGACTCCTTTGGACCCCCTGGCCATATTCCCTTAAAGAAACCCCTTCCATGGAAGTTGTTGGTTCCAAAGCCTTTGAGCAGCCTTGGTAGGCCTTCATTGTATCGGAGGCCTCTTTGAGGCTTATAGCTTGGGCAGTGGCCGTAGGGAATACTGTCACTGACAGCCTGTATGTGACCCAAAGGGAGAGTGTTTTTGGCATTTCAGTGAAACTGCCGTTTTTTGTCACAGTCATAATTTGGCATGCACTCCCCTCAGCATGGCAGCGTGGGTAGATCGTTCCCCATAGCGTTCTGACGCAGTGCGAGTTAGGGATGGGCGACATATTTACGTTTGCGATATACCGGTAAAATTTTTCCTCACGATAAGAATTAGTCTTCCCACGATAATAACGATAAAGCCTATGACGGGACCCATTCGCAGCTCACGCACATGGCGGAAGGCAGACGTTTATCGCTAAACGAGTAACTAAACGAGTAACTACTTTGACGCGCAGTAAACACTAGTGTGAAGGCGCACGACTTGCTGTCACTTTGCTGAGAGCGCTCAGTGTTTCTCACACACTCGATGAGAGAGAGAGTCTTACATACCACGCAGAATTGAAGTGTACATGATTTGATTTGAAGTGTACATGTAAATTATATTATTTGTTGTATTTTCCTGTAAAAATAATGGAGTTCATTTGGAATTATTCAGCTTTTATGAGCAAGCAGAAACTAATGCGCAAACGCTGACGTGATTAATATTCATGAACCCAGCAGCTCGTTTATAGTGCGGTTTATATTGTTATTAGTATCAGAATTCGTAGTAGTATTAGTAGAACTATTCGTTGTTAGTTTTTTTACATTTCAAACTTGTAATTGTTTTGAATTTATTATTGTGTGATGTTTTTCAGTATAGTTGCACTATTTAAACATTATCTGCACTTTTACAGAAGAAACGTATATGCAACTTTTCCATTTCTGCAAGGGATGGTGTTTACTGTTTTTTTAATTATTTTATGGACGGTAATTGGTATTTTATAGGAGCCTATTTGATGAAGGGTACATTTTACTTTGCGTGCAGCTATCACTTGTAGCCAAAAACAGTCGTGAATATGGTATTATATTTATATCGTCATTGATATCGTAATAAATGCCAGAAAATATCGTGATATATTTTTAAGTCCATATCGCCCATCCCTAGTGCGAGTTCCCTTTCGAAAGGGAACATCTCAGGTTGCGACTGTAACCTATGTTCCTTGAGAACAGGAAACGAGACACTGCGTCTTTTTGCCATGCCTCGGGGATGCCTGTAGTCTGGGAAAACCCAGACAACTTCCGGCAAATTTAGATTTGCTCAAAAGTTAGTCTGGCAAAGAGCTAATTCAAACTCATTTCCAATCCACCGAAATCGAGGCACCAATCAGAAACGTTGGGGCGGGCTTTACACGATGACGACAGCGCTGGGATTTTGAAGCAGATTTTGTAGCCTACATTACAAAGATGGATGCCGCCGTCGAACATCACTCGTTCGAATCAGCTATCGCGTCTGTTTTAAGCGATTTGAACGTTTCCCTTTTGTTAAAAACCGAGCAAAGAACAACACTCGGAGATGTTTCTGCCGCTCTGCATACGTCATCTCCTTCATCGCTCTGATTGGTTTTAGGTCTATCCGCGACGTCCGTTGGTGACGCCCCTCTGGAAATGATTTGTCTATGATGCTTTGCCAGACCATAACTCAGTTACAACTGAGAATGGTCTGGTTTTAACCAGGCTAGGATGCCTGCTGAACAATTTGTCCATTCAAGCGCAAGACTTTCCGTTGGGCGGTTCAGTGCAAAAAAGGAGGCGTGTTCCAGCGCAAACAATCCCTGGTGCTATTTTGCAGTTCCAGAAAACAATTGCGCCACTGACCAGAAAAACCTAGTCTAAAGTCAGTGGCGCGTTGCGCGTACATTCAGATGCTATTTTAAGCGCGCATGCTTGGCCATAATACAGAGTGTGAACAACGCGCATACACTGTAGATGATTCTCTCATCTGCACAGATGCATTTTACTTTTTGCAAATGATACATTATTATAAGGAAAAATATTAAAACACGAGGGAAATCATTGTTGTGTCCATGACGATGAGAAAAATAGACATAAAGCTTAAACATTTACCCACATTATTATATGCACTTTTAACCGAAGCTAATTTGGGTGGGTTTGTCCCATCCCCAATGTCACTTCTCTTTCTTTTACGGCCCTGACGAGAACATCGATCTCCTCGGCTGTGAACCGATTCTGAAGCGCGCTGGTAAATGCGTCGTTATAATAGTATTGCGCCATGGAACAAGCGCACCTCGTTCATCATGCTCTTAAAGGGAATGTGATATGACGCTCTTATTGGTTTGTTTCCCGTTACGCCCAAACCACACCTATGAATAATGACGCTACTTCAGACCAACCCCTTTTAGATTTGCGTCGAGCGCAAGAGTCATTTATCCCGCCGGTTAAATAGCAACAGCACCGAGATCCGCCCACAAAGTTACTTGCGCTTTGCGCTTGACACTTGCGTTTTTGATCGTTAAAATAGGGCCCATTAGCTTAACTCTTGTCTTTTTTACACGTTGTTATTTTCAACAAAACATATTATAGATGCGTATGCGTCAACAGATTTGAGATGAACAATGGTGCAAGTGCGTGCCGAACCATGGGTGGAGAATGGTACAGTTCAACTTTTTTTTTTTACCGAGAACCGTTACACCCCCAGCAGGCAATGAAATTATATCTGTGCTAAACTTATTCTTTGCCTCTAACTCAATTACAGGTGACTGTAATCGTACAATTTACTAACCATCGGCTAATTAAAGAAATGTTTTAGTCACCTCGTGAAATTTGGTCATATATGCGATTTACTCTACATTGTAGAGAGTTGTTTTTTGAGCACTAAATCAACATATTAGAATTAGAAATAGGATCATTTGACACTGAATATTGGAACTGAAAATTCAGCTTTGCTACCACAGGAATACATTTAAAAAAAGCTTTTTTAGACAGATAATTGTAATAAAAAAGTAAAAAAATATTTTACAATATTACAGTTTTTACTGTATTTTTTATCAAATAAATGCAGCCTTGGTTAGCATAAGAGATGCCTTTCAAACTGTTGAATGGTAAATAACAATTTATATATATATATATATATACACAATTATTTTTATATGGTTTCAAGACTTGAGTTTATATACTGATTATCTCTGTTCCTGTAAAAGATCTATTTACTGCTAATCCTCGGTTTGCTTTTCAGTGCAAAAGGCCTCTGAAATCCTGTAGACTTTGAGCAAAGATGATCTTCTGATTAGTATTCCACTGTCATAATGTATCCGTCAAGTTTACAAGATCACCCTCTTCCCAATGTATTCTGGGGCATGGTACACAGCATGTCGCTTTAGTTCAGCAGGATTTGACTCTGGAGTTGCAAGAGTAGCCTATGCATTAATTTCTGAACACTGAGGTCTTTTGATTTCCTGTGAAGCTGGGGATCCACATAACATGCGGTTACTCGTTCGCATATGCGTCAATTCATTATCTTGAAAAGAGGTATTTAGATAGTTAATCCTGGGGATTAACACACTGAATTAAGAAATGTGTATTACCTCGCACCCACTACCATAAACGCCTTGGCCGAGATATTCCTGTCCAAGTTACTGAGTGTATGGAGTCAATTATTATTATTAGTTTTTTAATTGTGTGAGATGTGTAGATATACTATGGTGAATTTTTTATCTGTAATAATAATAATAATTTTAATGTGTGAGATGTGCAGAGATACTGTGGTGACCTTTTTTTAGCCCAAATTATTATTTATTTATGTTTCAGTTTGATGATTTAAGAAATTTTTGCCTCTAGATTATCATGGAAGGCATTTTTAACTCAAGAGTTTGTTGTGCGGCTAAGGTGTGATGGTGTTTTTAACTTTCAGCCTTGTGAGAGGCCAGTTTGAAATGTGGCTTCCTAGAGGAAATTAATCTTCTATGGTTTATTAGTGGAGGCCACACTCTGAAGTATCCTTCACCTTTTGAATAATTAACAAGCAAGCTAAACAATGTGGTAGATAGATGCCATAAATCTGAAGGCCGTGGAGGAATACTCCTCGTCCAGCATTCATAAGGAGTCTCAAGCGATCTAAACAACGGTGAAATGAGATGAATTAATTGCATTGTTGCTTTTGGCATCTGCAATCTTAACGTTACTTGTAAAAAAAGACCCATCAGTCCAGTCAGCCCCTTTCCATATCCTCTCTCCTCATCCTTGGTGGATGGCTCCAGTGTTTTCTTTAAGCCTAAGAGCTTTGTGTTAAAGCTACTCTCAAATTCTCGACAGATCGATACCTATAGATCCTCTAATTGGAAGCCATTAGTTATGGGGTTTATAAAGCTAGTAATTATTGTGTGTAATCTTGCAGAAAATTAAATTTGGAGTTGTGTACAGTGTATTGGAGAGAAGTTTTTTTTCTGCTGCATTTACCATCTGTCAGGTGCTGCACGGTCCTACTTTTTCATGTGCAGAGCCAACTTTAGTTTTTCTAGCATAATATACAGCATTTATATGGGAAAGCTGAATAAGAGGAAGCTGTTTCGGGACTAGGCTTTATGAAAGAATGAGTAAACGAGGGGCGAGTTTTTTTTTTTTTTACAATGTAAAAGTGTTTACCATTACTTTTGATCAATTTAATGCATCCTTGCTGAATAAAAGTATTAATTTCTTTCACAAATAAAATCATACTGACCCCAAACATTTAAAGGGTATAGTGTACATACCGAGTAATACTGTAGGCATCTGATATGTATGTTAAATATAAATAATTGTATTTTGGTCTGTTTGACACCCTATTCTGATATGATTCTGATGTCATGGACTTGCGTGTGGACTTAACCAAAAATACTTTTTATGCTCTTTATTTTATGATTTTTTTATATCTTAATGCAGTTGCAGTACTCATAACATGAATATATTCAGTAGAGGAGATTCATTGTCTGTTTGGGAGTTAACAGCGATAAAGTGAATATCTGAATATAAAATTGTTGCAGTGGATGAGATGATGACAGTGCCTAAGGCAAACACACACACTAAAATGAAGGAAAACTAGAACTGCTACAAGAGTGTAATTCTGCCGGTGCTTTAATTTTACTTGTTATTTATTATGTGTGTCTGTTTGTCAGATTAATTGAAAGTAATTTAAATTGTTTTAAAAGTAATGTTTTGTGTTCAAGATGAATTAAGTCTGATTGGCGAATTCTTAAGGACTTCTGTGCTTAAAATGGAAGTGAATGGGCAGTCTAAGGAATTTAACGCAAACCATTTAGCATAAATGTTTAAGCTCATATTTTCATAAAAGCACCGATACAAATTCTTTTGCACACAGAAACATGTTAATTAAGATGCATAGGTCCCACATTCATGGAATCCTGGAATTACTGTATCAGGGGATTTTTAATTGGGTATTTCCAGTGGATAGTGGATTTCTTTTTTTTTTTTTTGTCCTAGAAATATTTTGGCTAGAAATTGATTTTTGTAAATGCAAACTCTATTATTTTTTTTTAAAAGTGCAACAGTAAAAATCATGGAAAATTTTAAATTCATAGAAATTAATTGGTGAAAACACTGGTGCTTTTTAAGTTGTCCAAATCACCCCAAATGTTACCCGACCTGTAATATTCTTGTAAAGTTTTAGTTTAATAATTCCCAATGCAATCCTGATTTACAGTTTGTTTTGTTGTGTTAAGTAAAGTTAATTCAAATGTGAATCAAGGTATAATCAAAGGATACGTTTTCATGAATATTACCTGTCAATGCATAGACCAGAGATGTGTGTAATAAAAAACATCTCAATGATTACCAAAATAGCAGCAAGAGACCACTTTGAAAGTGGTGCACAATTGACATGCAACAATAGGATCAAATGATATTGTGTCTTTAACATTTTGGGCATGTTGTTCACCAGTCTAGATTTAGAACTGGACCACAAACAGAAAGCATTGCACCTGGTACAGTGTGCCTGCATGAACACCTCTTTTAAAATAGCTCTTGTTTTTTTGTTTGTGTGCTGAGGAGTATCACCTAAAAAAGTTAGGTCCGTTAGCTTAGCTTCACGCATGGTATTTTCAGCGTAAACTAACCAGGGTGATATGCAAAACACCTTTTGTTTAGCTGTGTAAATGAAAATTGCTAATCAATTTTACCCCTTATTTCATGGCCTGTGGTTTCTGCCCCACCCCCACCAGCTGGTTAATCATGCACAAGCTGAACACTTCATTACCCAGGACATGTTTGCCCCTTAGCGCTTTCTCGCTAGTAAATTAGTTCTTTCTATTTATACAGGTAAGGCAGGTCAGAGGTCTCCGGGTTGCAAAAGGTAAAGGGATGAAATTAATATAGCGCCAAGCTCTTCTGGCTGAGAGCCTCCCAGAAGAAAAGCCCTCCAACTTAAACAGTTTCATAAGGAGAAATGAATTGGCACTGTAGGAGTGCGGCTCTTTTTGTTCTAGCCTCAGATTGGTCCTGCTGTGTTCTTTCTGTGCTGCACTGTGTGTCCTTTGAAGCCATGAGCTCAAATCTTGGAAGCCTGTTTCCTACCCAGTGCCTGTCCTATCTGCCTCCGCACCTTCGTCCAGCTTGTTTTTGCGGTTTCATCACGTTTCTTTTGTAGCTGCATTGAAGTGATTCACTATTTTGCTCTTCCTGCAAAGAGTACTTGTGAAAATTGAGGGAGGACCCCAGAGATTTGAAAGAGCAGTGTTTTATCTCCAAGTAATCCCAGAGTGACAGTGTGTCATCTGTATGACGAAGCTAGTCGAAGTCCAGGGAGCTTCATCTGAGCTTTATAGGAGATGAGGCGAAACGGATCCATTTCACAGGTGCTCTGGACTGAGGTATGCATCTTTTAGGTTTTGTTGACCTTGTCGCGTAATGGTCACATTTGGTGTTCTTGCAACCTACTTAGAAACGGGTAATTCTCCTTAAGCCCCAAAACCATTATTTTTTTTGATTGTTTTTATGTCAGGCGCTACAACCAAATACCTGTATGTATATATACAGGACTGTAGTTGTACCACATGACATGGAAAGTGTACCTACCACCTATACTTGAAATTAGCAGTTTTTTCCAGTATTTGAGAGAGATCTACAAAACTTTTCACTCTGCCACAAGGATCAGTTGGGGTTCTCTGGATGATGCATTATCATGTTTACTGTAATTACCTCGTCAATTCATAATGAAAGAGTCGTGTTTGCAGTTGTGCCACCCTGACATTTGAGAATAAAATATACAAATTGCTGGACAAAAGTTTTTCAATTATCTCAACAGCTTTTAAACTACTGACATTTGTAACATTTATTTATATGAAAGGTTTCATACCTAAAAAAAAATGCCATAGTATTTATTTTTTATTATTTTTATTAAGACACCATTTTAAATCATTTTCTTAGTCTATTCATTTGTTCGGACAGTTGCACCTGATATTTTGGGGGTTTAAGATA